AGTATATATCCGGTTGCTTGTAATTAGGCATGGCAATGGGTCAGGTCGGGGCGGGTACTGCAAGACCCAGACCTGCCCCCGCGACTTCACTGGGTGGACCTGCCCATCCCCATGATCTGCACGGGTCCAAACTTGGTGACCCATAACCCGCTCCGCTCCGTCGTAACCTAGCTAACTAGCTAGTATGTATTTTTATTTGTAGGAAGTTGTTACCAATTGAATCTACATAAAGTTTATCTCTAAATAATTATTAAAAAATAATATGTTAAATCAAATTCACAATTTGCTAAAAATTTCAAAAATTAAAAAAAATTAGACTTGAATAGTTAATCTATTTAATTATATTAATAATTGAATTTATATATTAAAATGCTATATATAAAGTATACATTGATAATTCGTCGTTCATCTCATTCAAATATAAATATTACTCGTAATGTATTATAAGATCAAATAATTTATGATTTATTATATACACATATGTATCTTGAAGTATATTTGGAGTATAATTTAAGGGAAAGTATGTATGCTTATATATTGAGCGGGGCGGGGCTGGGTGACACAGGTCAATACTAATACCCGGATCCGCCCCATTATATAGGCGGGGCGGAGTGGATCCGCCCCATTTGCTAGACGGGGTGGGGCGGACCCGCCCTAATGTCTCGGTCCAGGGCGGGTCATTGTCGGCCGGTTTTTTTACATGCCTATTTGTAGTAGCTATCTAACTATATGCCGTTAGTAGTTCTGATATGATCTGTTAGCTATGTACATACACACATCTACTATAAGTCTATAAATACCTTGTACACAGTTGATCAATAATAATATACTTTCAATCTACTATCTTTCTAATAAGTTGTCAACCAATAGAGAAATGTGAAAAAAATCATCAAACTAACTATTGAGATCGACCGGGACTGGCCAGTTTCGGTCCCGACTTTCCTATACGTGGGACCCAATACCCTACTTGGGTTGTACTAGGTTTAGTTTCGGACAGGGACCGTACTTTCGATCTTTTGGCGGGTTAAGAAACCGAGTGAAAAGAATGTATCAACATGTTTTCAGATTTGAAATGAAAACAAAAAGTTGGAGATAGAAAAATTTGAAAATGAAAACATAAAACTGAAGAATGGAAAACATAAATAGAAATTAAAACTGGAAAATATACGTGTTAGTAGAGAAGCCTGAACTTTTTGTATTTGAATGAAGTTTTTATAATGTTCCGTGATTTTTTAAGAAAAGGGGGGCAATGTATTATTTTAACTTTTATTTTGTTAGAATATGTAAATGTACGCAATTTCCACAATTAATGCTCCGTATCACTATGAACTACGTAAATTGCAATTTAGGCTATTTAATCATATGTAGTGATATGAAAAACACGGGCACTAAAGTACTGACAGGTGTGAAAAACACGTAACATAAACCCGATTTCCTATTACTAATATTTTAAGCAAAAATATGGCACTCTTTACGGCTAATAAATAGGAGTTGTTGATGTATATAGTTACGGAGCAATGGATAAGAATGATGTAACATTAAATTCATTTAATTAACACGTGAACAACCATGAATATAAACAGATTGATGACTTCGAGTTATGTTAGCAGTATTGACTATTGAGCCGTTATCATTAACAGATTGAACACAGGTAAAATGATTAGCTATTCGCAATTAGCTGCTAAAACGTACTAAAATGATTATTAAGAACAAAGATAAAGGGGTGTTTGGTAAATGGCGTTTTAACCAAAAAAGAGTGGTTTGATCACTTTTGACGTTTTTAACGAGTGAAAACGTTGTTTGATAAATAGCGGTTCGGCACTAGCGTTTTTGGACGGAACCGCTGCAATGAAAACGCTGCAAATAAGAGAGTTTTGGGTTAGCGTTTTGAAAAATGACGTTTTGTATTAATTTTATGGACAAACAATTAAATTACCAAGCATCTTCTGAAAACTCGCCAGTTTTAATCCGCTGGTCAAACCCGCTGATTGAATCTGCTATGAACAACCCACTAACATATTCCGCTATCCGCTAACCGCTAACCGTTAAATGTCAAACACGCCCAAAAAATATATATGAATTTAACTTAGTTTTTTATGGAGTACTTTATAAGTACATTAACTATCTATTGGTTTATAATAAAACTTGAGTTTCAGCCCTGATTACTCCAAGGTAATCTTAGTGGGACGGCCCGAAATGGTAAAATGAGACAATCATAACGGGACGGAGGGGGTATAAAAGAATAGTTAAAATGGTCATCTACAGTCATTTCAGCTAATGCAGCCAGAAAAGTAACTATAACCTTACTTTTTTTTTATTATTTCATAATTCAGCGCACAAAACCAAAAGTTACGTGTTTGGTTAAAAGTTGGTTGATAAGCCGAAAAACAAATGCACCAAACGGGCTCTTATCCATATAATGATTCAATCGGGTTATCTTATACGAAGTATACATTTCCTAAGGGCATCCCCATTCATAGATTATTTTTGGAATCATTTTGATGATGTGGATGATTTTTTTGGGATCATGGATGAGGAGTTGAGATTATTTTATGAGTTTATTTGATAAAATAATCTGGTATCAAATTCTAAAGCTGGATTATTTTGAGATTATTTCCAACTTTTAGACTCCTCTCTCCATTTTCTAGACATATACTCATAATTAAGGTGATGACTAGCTTTGTAAAGATTTTGAAATTGAGTGCATGTCTCATAATAAATCTAAGGAAATTAAAATCATGGATGAGGATAAATTGATAGGTTTGAAGATTATTTGAGATAATCTTATGTGGAAGTGACATGATAATAAGAAGCCATAAAAAACCGTAAACTTGAATAGAGATGCTCTAATAAATTTCAAACTTTTATCCTGATACTTTTTATGCATGTATTTATTCAAAAAGGTTTCCTACCTTCGATAAACATTTACTAAAGATTATATATATGTGTATTTGTATAGTCATATCATATTTGGATTGCCTAATAAGAGTAATTCAAAACCATTTCATTGATTTCAGAAATATTTAGGTTAGAAGTCATACATAATATATATAGGGGAATGCAAATTTGCACTTCATTTTTAGATGATATTGCAGTTCACACCATATTTTTATAATCATTAATTTGCACTCTATTAACCTAAAAATTGTGAAGGAATGAGGGTGCAAAGTCAAATGATTTGATATTAATGATTATGAAAATGGGCATAAAGTGCAATCATTATGACTAAAAAGTGAGGTGCAAAGTCAAATTTCTCTATGCATATCGTTTAAAGAGGCTAAAAATCACCCTAAATATAAAAAATGCACAATGGTGTTGATAATGATAATAATGATAATAATAAAAATAATGATAATGATAATAATAACAAAAATAATAAAAATAATAATAGTAATAATAGTAAAAGTGATAATAATAATAATAATACTAATAAGAACAACAACAACAATAAATCATATACACATAAATTCTTTAAAATCATGTTTCTAATTTCTCAAAAATATCAATAATTATATTTATTTTCAACATAAATACTTTAAATAATTTACAAGCTCTATTGATATTTAATACTTTAATTCATATCAAGGTGACAGTACCGGGGCATGTCCCGGGTGTTACACTAGTTAATGATGTAATCTTTTGAAATCTATAGCACTTTATATTACAAGTTTACACAGGGCCGTCTAGAGGGAATACGAGGCCCTAGACGGTTATATAGACACTTTGTTTAAGTATTTTTTTGACATAATAATATAAAAAAAAAACAAAATATCAATTAAATAGAGTAAATTACATATGCATCATATACTATTGACGTAATAAAGGTATTCTTTTAAAGCAAAGATTCAAAATTGATAAAAAAAAATACATCCCCACACTAATTCTCAAACACGACATTTGTACACTCAATCTCAACAATATTTGAAGGAGAAGGTTTTGTGATTACATACTGATTACCGATCCATAGAATCGGTAAACGATTTTATTTATAACCAAATCTTTTCTTAATTTGTTATTTCCCTTTGTATATCCCGGATCATGTTTACATTTTCCCGCCATCATAAATCTTTCTCGTACGATTGTATTAGAAAAATACGGAATACTAAATAAGTTAATACACATTTATAAATACACATTCAATCCACTATTTTAATTTACTAACATTATTATGCTAAACATTAATTTTATGATTAACATTATATTATTATATCACTCTTATTATATATTAATACTACTATTATTATTACTTCTATTATTATTATGACTTTTTTCCTAAAATATTACTAACATTAAATAAGGATACTTTTTGTACCCAAGTCATTATGAGTAAGTTTTATAAGCATTCTAATAGTAAAATTTGAACATAATTATAATCATTAATATAAGTAAGTCGCTTTTTATCCACTATCCTAATTATTTGGTCATATACTATTTCTACTATTGTTATTATTATGCTTTTTTCATCATCCAGTTCATTATCTATCTCCAATTTTGCAACAAGCGTAGTTAGAACTACTATATGTGATTTTTAGAACTCTAGAAATATACTTTTGTTATAAAGCGACTCAGAATCACAAAGCAGAAGTCGAAAGGAGTCAACTCAGTAAAGCGAGAAGACACGAAGTCACTAACACGGGCACCTAGCCGCGCCACCACCTACTGTCTTGTCCCCCACCTCGGCTGTCAACCGCCGGTGTCTCTCCGGAGTCCGACTCTCTAGCCTATAGTTCGTTGTGGCTCTGCCTCTCTAGTCTATTCGAGTCCGATCAACTACCTCTAGCTGAGTCTAGTTGTCGAGCCATCCACGTATACTCTAATACTCATTTAATCTACTACGTATTATTTTATGCATTGGTTCTTTTTAGTTTGTAATTCTATTGATTATTAATTGAATTTTTGAATATATAATAAAATAGTGTTTATTCATTTATGCTCGAACTGGACTTGAATAAAATAGATGTATTAATTCTCTTTTATAGTGTTTAAATAATTTATACAATTGCACTAAAAATGTTTAAATTTTAAGATAAATAAAATTCATTCCTATAATTTATGAGTTGTCGACAGGCTCGACTCCGGATCGAACCGAATATCACCATGCTCGAACTCGGCTTGAATAACTATTTGAGATGAAAAAGATGGGTTAAGTTCGAGTCGTTAAATTAAATCCGAAATCACGCCCGGACTCGAGTAGTTCAAAAAAGCTCGGTTCGATAACGGCCATAAACCAAACTTTTTGTTTGCAATAACAACTTTTTTTGCTTAGCCCACCCCACTCTTCATTCCTGAATCCGCCCCTGCACGCCTTCACATTTTTTCTTTCTTTCCCATTCTCTTCTTTCTCTACTTCTCTGGCCTCACTTCACCCTTCTCACCTCCCTCCGACTTCACTCCCGCTCCCCACTTCTCCTCCGTCGACTAGGGCGGTGTCCGAATTGAAGCTACGGCGGATCTGGAAATGGCCGGCCTGGAGGTCTCACGGAGCACCGTCGCTGACCCGGAAGCTTTAACGGAAGCCATCGACTCGTGGGCAGTAGATGAGCGATCTGTGAGAAGGAGGCATCCGCCACTCCGGCGTGCAGCTGGTACTCGAGAATCTCCAGCGACGTGGGTCTCTCTCAAGCTGCGGAGTGAAGCACTGGCCGACGACTGGTGGGTGGGAATTGGGAGAAGAAAGGGTTGATGTTGATGGAAGAAATGGAAGAAGTGGTGAAGGGGGGAGGCCGGAAGGGGGTTGCTGGAACGGGCGCAGGAGAAAGGAGCAGGAGAAGGAAAAAAGGAAAAATGAAAAAAAAAAAAAAACTGTCATGTGGGTCTCCATGTGTGCACAGTAACCGATCAAAAATTCATTACCGGTTAAAAGGGAAGGTTTGCCACTTAAAAATGAGTTCGAGACTTCGAGGGTTTGATTGAGTGGAATTTTAATTGAGGGTCTAATTGATTTTCTTATCATAATAATCCCACCTTTACATAATCCCAGAATAATCCCACCTTTGCACCCATCTTCTTTCATTGGACACCTTTTTTTTAAATCTTTTATAAATAATCCCACCTTTGTAGGTCATCAATAGGTCAGAGTCCAATGAAAGAAGATGAGGTGCCAATGTGGGATTATTCTTGGATTACATAAATGTGAGATTATTATGAGAAGACCAATAAAGGTGCGATTATTCTTGTCAATTTTTCCTTTTTTTTTAAAAAAAGTAGAGGTGCTTATTTGATAGTGTTCCCTAATATACTACGTACATGCTTTGGTAGTCTCGTATTTACTCGTATTACTCATTTCTTTGGTTACAAACTAATACGAGTACTACATTCGTCCCACTATGTTTGGAACAAGAGGGTGTGACACAACATTTAAAAAAAAAGTGGAATTGAGTGGTTGGTATTGAATTGATAAAGTTTGAATAAAATAAGAATAGATTGTAACCACTCAAATATTACCAAATATGGTATGAAACCAACTTAATAGGACGGACGGAAAAGGTATAATGGGTCAAACCGTCAAACTTAGGTGGACGGAGGGAGTAAATGAGTATTACTCGTATTTAATCATTTCTTTCGTACATAACTCTGGTAGTCTCGTATTTACTCATTTCTTTGGTGGTCAGCGATCCATATTACTCTTTCATAGGTGATCGTCTCTTAGTCTAGCTGTAGGGTTGATAGTGCTAGTTGGTTAGGGATAGTTGTTTACAGGGTTGGTCTTTTTGAGTTTGTTGTATTGATTTCTTTCTTGTGATTTTAATAGGCGAAATTCATACAAATAATCCATACTTTTAGCGGTTCTATAATAATAATCACTACCGAATATGTCTATATAAATAATCCATACTCATAAACACGTCTACATAAATAGATTAGATTAATCTTTTTTATATTTAATATATAAGGATACATTATTAACTTTGTTCACCATTGTCATACATGGGAGTTTTGTGTTTTTTATATCATTACTATAATTATTTTCTTGAAGGATAATAATCTATCTATGAAGGTTTAATCTATCTATGTAGACACATTTATGAGTTTGGATTATTTGTATTGACTTTTTCAGTAGAGATTATTATTGTAGAACCACTAAAAGTACGGATTATTGGTATGAATTTCACCTAAAGCGGTTTGTTTTTATGATAAAAAATGTTTAATACCTTAATGTAGCAAAAAGGAATTTTATATCGAATCTGGTTACAAACTAATAAGGAATTGAATTAGTTATGAGTATTAACTATCAAGATTTTAATTAAAGAGTTGATTTTTTGTATTATATGTATCGAATATATATTTTAGTTACTTGAAACAAAGTGTACTTTTATGAGATACTTAAGTTAATGGGTAAAAATCAATATGCAGAAATTTATATTTTTCAATACATGTTATTTTTAATTGTTGAGTTATTTTGTGTTATCTGATATTGATAATGTATGGAGTAAGAATGAACGCCACTAAGCAATATTTTCTTAGTGCGTTAGATTTTTGTCCTTCGCATAGGTATATAGTCGATACGAGGCAAAATTTAAAGAGGAAAGTGTTTGGGAGCAACATGCCAATCAGCACAGAGTCACACTTGCATTTTTAGTTTGCATAATAAATATGTAGTTAACTTACTATTGTAATGTAATGACAACACTAAATATTTACGTGTTATGTATATATAAAATAAAGATGCTTTCGCACTTATGAACTCTTTGTAAAATTATTATCACTAATTCGTTTTTTTAAATAAAAGTATTTTTAGAATATTGAAAAAGATAATAGAAAGTTAGTTTGCGCTTTGGTGCTCCGGCAATGCAGGTAGCGCTCCCTGCCCTACCTTCCGGGACGGGTAGAGGGTGTTACCCAGTGAATGTACCTTTTAAAGGTTATCAATGGACCTGAGAAAGAGGGCGAGGAGGCACCTCACGGTGGATTGAGGAAACTTTAGACATGATTCTAGTAAATGAGGACTAATTATCCTTGTTTGGAGGTCATGTCTCTTGAAGGCCCTACCAATGACCATTTAATGTTTTACATCCGGATGAATAAGAACAGATACATGAGGAGGAAGGCATTCAACAGAAAGTGAATGCCGGGAAGTTATCCAACGGGCCTGGAATAATTTGTATGATTACTATGATTTGCATATCTGGCAACGGTTGAATGAGTGTGGGATGAAAACACAAAATTATTTCATAATGCGGTCAAGTAAATTAAAGGAGGCGAAGAAACAATATGAAAGGGCTGAGATTACCGAATGCAGGGACGGATTTAAGGGGGGCACGAGGGGCGACCACCCCCTTGGACTTTTAAGTTTTTCTACTATATATGTAGTATTTTCATAAAATTTTCATACTTTAATTAGATATATATGTTTTCGCCCCCCTTAACTTTTATGTTTTTAATGTTAATATATAGTGTTACATTATATAATACTTAATTGGGAGATTTAAAAGAAGTAAAATCTAAAATATTTAGATAGTTTAAGACTTAGGATACCTATTATATAAAAATTCATAGCTTTGTAATATTTAATTATCTTTATTAGATAATTAGTACTACATTTTGTATAAGGTCATACGATAATAAATATCAGACACACTGGTTAAACAATTTTAAATCACGTGAAGTGAATCCAAAATATAAATGGTTGTTGACATTAAATTATACAACTCATTTACTTCTTACTTTCTAAGAGCAATTTATTGCACAAATAATAAACTTTAACGTATTTTAGCGTTAATACAAATATAATACGCATCATATATATATATATATATATGAATTAACAATACTACATATAATATTATTCTAAAAATAATAATCTCATGCATACTATTGTAATGTTAAAAAAACTCCTCGTAACCCATGAAAAACAAATTCTTTATTCTGGTAAGATTCATGTGGTTAAACAAGACATAAGTTGTTTACAAAAAAATGATTGATGTGTACCTCTTAAATTTTTTACCTTCAAATAATTCGACAAAATGATATATATCCTTTTTTATTTTCAAATAAATTTCCTTTGATTTGCAATGACTTATGCTTTAATGTATCAATACTTTTTTTCTAGAGCATTTACGGTTACAAATTTAAAGTTATTTTTCCATTGTCTAAACTTAGAATGTAATATATTTAAATGTTATCGTGAATATACTAATGATTTTTTCTAATAAAAATTAGCCACAGAGCCCTTCAATAGTGAAAAAATTTGTTTCTGCTACACTAGCGAAAAAAATTCCCGCAACATTAGCGAAAAAATTCTCCCCGCTACACTAGTGAAAAAATTTTCGCCCCCTTGATTTGAAATCCTGAATCCGTCCCTGACCGAATGGGGAGTGGGAGACGGACCGGGGAGACTTAGTGATATGGTGCAGGAGTACTTTGCAAGGCTTTTTACTTCAAAATGTAGTCATGGATAGGGCTGTTAACGAATCGAGCTTTTATCGAAATATTCGAGTTCGAGCTCGGTTTTGAACCTAACGAGCCAAGCTTAACGAGCTTTCGAACCGAACTCGAGCTAAGTTTTAAGTTCAAAAAATTAATCGAGCCGAGCTCGAACATAATAGTATTCGGCTCGGTTCGAACTCGAGCCTATCGAACACGCTGAAATTATAAATATAATTTATATATAATCAAAATTTAAAAATAATTAGTATGATTTTATGAATTTAAATATGATTATTAATGAACCAAATACTTGTCGAATCATTCGAGCACGGGCCTATTAACGAGCATCACCTAAAATTTTAAATTCGACCATATTTATTGAGCTTATCGAGCGCTCGGTTCGAACATCGAACGCCTATCGAGCTGAACACGAGCCTCACTTGTAAAGCTCGCCGAGCTTCGAGCTCGAACCCGAACACCATTAATTCCTTATCGAGCCGAACTCGAGCTTTAGGTGTTCGGGCTCGGCTCGGCTTGTTCACAACCCTAGTCAGGGAGAGAATATTATTATGACCGGTCTAGCACAGGTGACCCCAGGACAGAATCAGGAGCTGGTAGAACTGATTACCGCCATTGAAGTCAGAAAGGTTATTTTTGCTATGCACCCGGACAAGGCACCAAGGCCGGATGGATTAAATTCGGCCTTTTTCAACACTACTAGGAGATTGTGAGGGAGGATGTCATGAAATTCTGCCAGGCAATCTCAATGATAGGATGAGTCCCAACGGAGGTAAATAAAACTAATCTTGTACTAATTTCTAAGAAATATAGGCCTGAGGAAATGGAGGACTAGAGATCTAGAGCTTTGTGTAATGTGGTCTAAATTTTTAGTAAGGTTTTGAAAAATAGATTAAAGTATATTCTCAATGGTCTGGTTGCCACAAACCAAAGTGTTTTTGTCTCAGGCAGGTCGATAATTGATAATGTTATGATTACATTTGAGTCCTTACACTGCCTAAAATGGAAGACACATGGGAAAGATGGGTATATAGCCCTAAAATTAGACATGAGCAAGGCATATGACAGAGTTGAATGACGTTATCTAGAGGAATTAATGTAAGAAGCCATGAGATTTGATGAAAAATGGATTGGTCTGATTATGTAATATATATATCAACGGTGGAAAATTTTATTCCTTTTGATGATGATATGATTGGGCCAGTGGCACCTAGCAGAGGTCTGAGGCAAAGGGATTCCTTATCCCCATATTTATTTATTTAATTTGTTGATGGAAGGGCTTAGAACCTTGATACATCGGCAGGAGAGTGAAGAAAATATCCTGGGTATTGTGGCGGTTGCACGATGGTCACAAAGTTGGGACCCCGTTTTGTCAGACATGAAGAAGATTTAACTAACTGGGTTAAAAAAAATTGAAAATTCGCAGGGTGAAGAGTTATGTTGCTTCATTGTTAATTTGTGGAGTCTATGGAATGTTCGGAACTATAAAATATGAAAAAACAATGAAGGCAATAGGCAGCAATGTCTGGAAATTGGGTCGGCGGTGTTGGATAGTATAAACTTGTTAGTTATGTTTGTTAGCTAAAATATTATTATTATTATTATTATATGCATGTAAATAGGTTAGTTTCCAATATATACGTGGGTATATACGTGTGCATGTATCAAGGAGGTTTTTTTGTCCACTTGCAATGTAACCACCTTGATCCTCGTCTATATGATAGAGGTGCAGATGTGGGAACTTGTTAAGATGGTTTTTCCTCCACAAAATATTAATATAC